CAGTATAGGGCGTGTTTCCTCGGGGATGAAGCGGACGGGACGTGAAGTTATCGCTCGCCTTCGTCCAGTGCCGAGGTTAAGAAGGTGACGTCTCCATGACGTGGTAAACGCTGTGTAGCGTCACCTGATGTTCCTCTATACATCAAATGACCTTCGTCATAACATATCAGTTATCTCAAAGGCTAAAACATTGAAGCTAATTTAATTCATTGAGGCAGAATCAAATCATTTACGATATTATAACCTTCGCCGGCTCGTGTGTGAAGGAAAATGAATTATGTTGCAGTTCAGAAGTACTCGTATGTGGGACAGTAGAGGCCAAGTATTTCTACACGTCTTTGTTTGTATTTTGCCTATGAGAACTTGTGATAATACAGAAATAATACGATGCAGTCTCCGAACCTGTAAATATTTCGCAAGCATCTGAAACACTGAACCTCTAAATACAAACGAAGTCTATAATGCAATAATTATTATTCATATAAACACGCGACAATATGAAATATGTGAGGTGTAAATGAAACATTTCCTTTAATGTCGCTGAAATTCAACAGAATTCTTCTGTAAAATGCAGAGTTATATGAAGTGCAGATTTTTTTGGCCAGTGGTAGTTTTTTTACATTGATGCATATGAAGCACACTGCTCGTTCGCATCCTGTGATATTGATATTTTAATTCTGGAATCTTCGTTGCTTATGGAAGTTCTCTGTCTCTCTCCTCACCTTGCTCGGCCATTTATTTCGGTGTCTTGTGTCATGTAGACGCCATCTTAGACGTTAATGATGCACCTGATACATATATATACATACGAGATGACCTTCATTCTCGTGGATGAGAAGATTTAACTCCAGGATAATTACTATTTTTGTTTCGGCCAATTTTGTTGAATTGTTATTGTTGTAGATAATTCATGGGAAGAACTTTGATTTCTTATCCAGATCGGTTCAGTGATTCTGTTTCTGTATTCACATTTATTTGTCGTTCTTAATAAGTAACTGATTGTGAAATATTACTGTATTCAGATTTATTATTAATATTAAAAGTAGGGCTTGTCAGCTTGTTGGCCTGTAGATAGGCGATACAACAGTTTTAAAAGCGTGCTCTGTCCTGACCACGACTGGAAATTCGTTCATCGTAAATTCATGCATCTCAAAATAATGTTAATTTCCGGAATTATGTTAAGATAGTTATTTTCCCACTGTTTAGCCTGGTGGTATCTTTATGCAAAGAAACTATCATCTCCTTTTACATGTAAAGTTACAACAATTTAAAAGAATTTTAAGCATTACAAACTTGGGCAAGAAATTATTCTAAATAACCTGGCGTTAGCTTAGATTTTCTGAGCGGATTGTCTAACTATCGAAACCGCTTCTCCTCATTCGATTTTATATGACTCATGGTTTTAATCTGCATTAGACTACTGAAAATGGGGACCTAAGAATGAGAATTAACAGCAGGATGGGAAAACATCCATAATGAGGAACTTAATATTTTTTCTGTGCACCAAGTACTGTTAAGATAATCAAATCAAGGTGGTTAAGATTGACCGGGAGTGTAGCACGCATGGAAGAGATGATGAATGCACACACAAATTTATTCGGAAACGTTAAGGACGATTTCGCTTTGGAAACATAGGCGGCTTCTTCACTCTTAAGTAGAGAACCTAAAGAAGGCCCAAATGCGCTGAAAGATACAGCGTAGATAAAATAAAATAAAAATTATGCAGACAAAACTATAGTGGGTCATTCCGAAACACAATTCGCTTTGTCATAAACCTGTCATTTTACAGAGTTACACAACTAACAATTCACATTAAAATTATCATATTCAGAACTAAATACCTTATGTCGTTCCCAGAATTGGATCAACCCAGGGAAGCACGCGAAGACAAGTTATCTAAGTTCTACAGAAATGCATGAAAGTCTATTATATTAAAACGGACCTCAAACGAGCAGTAAGGTCTATGTGCTACGTCCAACTGGCTTATTGTATGCTCCGATGGTGACACTAGTGAATACGATAATGGATATTATAGTTGCATAACAGGCGGGAATTTTGTTGAATAACTACGAGATTTTTTTTTTTTAGTGTTCTGTCTGACGACAGGTCCGTATGAACAGGATCCTTCCATCCTTTTCTCGGACTGGGATCTGTTCATATACGTTCTTGGCAGATGATCCAGAAGTGGTTTGCCATTGCCTTCTTCTGTGTGTGAATGGAGTAATTGTTGGGATGCCACGGAGGAAAACTCCGTGTTGCCTAGACCACGGCCTTGCCCAACACAAGTTATAAATTCGGGCACCGCTGGGAATCGAACCCGAGACCAGCGTTCTAACCGCTAGACCACCGTGGCAATCAGTTATTGTAACAAAAATATCCAAACTTCTTTTATCTCAGAAAACTTTATCCAACTGTAAACTTGTTTCTGATTCAGTCAAACAAAATATTCCCACGTCTCCGTAACATCAAGTTTGTAATTAGCTTGCATTTTTCACATAGACCTATATTAGATTTTCTGCACAGCTTATAAATTGTTTTGTAGCTTGCCTTTGTTTTGATTCAGAAATTTATTTGTACACACAAATTTTTTAAACGTAAAAATTAGAGGAGACTAGCCTAAAATGACACGCCTGTGTTGCTGGCAAAATGTATTCATCGGATGATTTTTAAATTTCGCGCCATTGGGTTTGTTAGGTTGGTACTCAACTGCAGTCAAAGATGGCGTCTTGATACAGTGCGGGGTTTAAGGTTTCTGTGCAAAAGAATGTTTTCTGGTGTCTCTCGTGCTATTTCTGTTATCAGTTTCACGTGAAGAATTTGGAAGTAAGTCTAACTTAATACTAATTGATTCAATCAGTGTTTCTTGTATTTCTAGATCGTGGTTTGGGAAGTAAGTACAGCCAGATTTAGGTTAAGTGACATAACCAAATTTGTGTGTGATTTGTGTACGTATATCTGATAGCACAGAATATTTTTCTTTGTCAGTCGACATATTTGCTCAGCAGTGCTCAATTTAGTAATTTCGTTTAACTTTTACTTTATTTTGAAGATGGTAAAGTTGCGTCATATTGTGATATAATAAATATATATTAAATCTTGTCCGTCTAATCACAATAAATTCTTATGGTCTAATGTAAATCGAATATTTCGATAAAGAACATCATTTAATATTTTAAATATTTTAAAATGTTAATTATTGTAATATTTTAATATTTAATAAGAATTATTGTGATTAGACGGACAAGATTTAATATATACTTATTATATCACAATATGACGCAACTTTACCATCTTATGAAAATATTGTATGTTTCTCTCTGTTTAACTTGCTTCATGTAGAGAGACATTCTTGAGAAGCTAGCTAGTCAAAAATTCTCCGTCTTTTATAGAACCCGAAGGTTTATTGCCGTTTTCAGGAAATACCGCCGTCGGCCAGATAAATTCAATCCAAACCCGATTTCCCAAAAATCCATTTTGACATAATCTTCACATCCAATCCCAGGTATTCCCTTCAGGTTTTCCAACCAAAATTCTATGAGCATTTCTCTTATCATCCATGCGCTCTACATGCTCCGCCCATCTCATCCTCCTTTGTTTGATACTCTAATAGTATTTGGTGAAGAGTACGGGGCGCTTGAACCCAACCGTCCTGGCTTAATGAACTTCACGAGGACTGTCTGATGGCCCAGGCCATCTCCTTCTCATTCCTTGACCCTGATTGGACGGCTCCCTCCTAGCGTAGTCATTATTATGACCCTATATAAATTACCCACTTTCCAACCTCACTTCGTTCCTGAAGACTGAGACAGCATGTTTCTTCGAAACGTTTACATCTACCGGCGAGTGTACATGGCGCCAAAAACCTAGAACATGTGTGACCGGTTTCCCAAGTAATCTGTATACGACGGGGGTTTCCGAATCAAGATATCGTAAGCATTTGTAGTTTCTGCTTTCCCTGTTCTCGTTGTTTAATTCTGGTAATATTAAGCAAATTATTATTGTGCTTTCTTCTTGATCAATGCGTGTTTCTCACACAAGGGGGACACAACGGCGGGATGTAAGCTGATCTCAAAGAGAGATTTTAAATCCAAAAATTTGCAGGCATTTCTTTTGAAGGATGTTGCTTGCAGTTGGATAGGCAGGCAAGCTGGGCTTTCTGACTGCTCCATAAATCATGATGGCTGGTCAGGTGGAATCTTGGCTCGCTGCTGGCAATGGTATGAAAGAACGGACTTCTTATAAAGCAACATCCGTAATATAGCTACTTTACTTAAATACAATACATACATAGACCAAAGCGTTTACATCTTCAGAAACGAAACTTGTCTCGAGGCTTTGCTTCTTAGCTTACCATGTGAACGACAGAACTGCACTAATGTATTTTGGGCGCATTTGCAACTAATATGACGTTGATTGCGTATGTCGACAGTGTTGGCTCTAAATGTTGAGGGTGGAGTGTCCGGAACTGAGGATAGAACGGGCATTACTTCGAATCTACCGTTTACCTCAGTGGCTATTTTCCGACAATTTAACCGGTAATCGAACCCAGGACAGTTTCCTGTGGTTGTGGCGTTTTTTTTATGTAATTTACTTTTCGAAACAGTTTTGATTTTGGGGCTGTTCGTCTAGTGCAGTGATATTCAACCTTCAGTGATTATCATAAAATAATATATATATATATATTAAATTTTACGTACCCCCTAAGATGTCTTCGCGTACCCCAAGTTGAATACCACTGGTCTAGTGTACTTGGATTCTGGGCTACAGGAATCTCTCTCACTGCAAATGGAACACGATTTTTCCCCCGGAGTTTTGACGAATCTAATGGTACTAATTATTACCGGAACTTTACCTGCAGTTACGAGTTTAAAACCGAAAGTTTATGGATTTAGTTATAAAATAGTAGAGGACTGAGATTGTTATCTGACAGTGTTTGTATGTTTCAGAAAGTTTTAAATGATCGGAATATTCGTGCTCGTTAATGAGGACTTTGTTTTCAGATGGCGAGTATCTCTTTGTTGATCCGGACAACAAGCTGTCCAAATATGCACCAAAGAATTGGAGGTCTTCGCACGCTCATGTAAGTGTGACTTCATTTGTTTTTATTTTAAAGATAATTCTTTTAAAGTAGTGACCAAGGGACCCGTTAGGACCATCCACAAATATTTAAACGTAATGCTAACTGAACGTCTTGTCGTGTATAACAAAACGGTGCATGCACTGAACTGACATGTCATGAAATTTTATATTTGAAACTGCCCTCGTGGTATCTGTGACTTTTATACGCATTAAGATACAATCCTTGCATTAGCCGGGAATTCATGACATCTTATGTTCAGGCAGTGACCTCCACGATGTTTTTCGCCCTGCAGTTAAAAATTGTCATATTCTTGTCTTCAAATGGGAGAGAATTACGTAAGAGGAATTTTTAAATTCAAATAATCCGTACCTTTGGAAACTTGAGCATTGGAAATAAAAATTAACCATCTTTTTATACGAATAGGCCTTCGAATCTGATACAGTAAGGATCCTGAAACACGATACCACACCATCTAATCTGATTGGCAGTGTAATTCAATTGAGCCAAATCGCAACACTTCCATTGTTGCGTTAAGACGAATAGCTTTTAAGGAGGATTTGGCTTGGTTTCTCTCGCCAGCACGCATTTCGGCATGTTTGCTTCTCATTATTATTCTAAGCTGCTATTGTTCTTGTACAACAACTCCCTTTGTTTAAAAATTCTGGCAATTAAACTTGACACTCCCAGGCTTAAGTTTGGTAATTGTCCAAATGAGGCGTCTTAATGTAGATCGCTTTAAAAAAAATACGTGAATGAATTAATTTTTTTGTTTATTGTCCAAGTTCTTGTCACTTTTGCATTGTTACTACGACGAAATTGAATTGGTAACGTTACGGCAGGCCCAAATGACAGTCTTCGTGCTTCAAGAGTTACCAAGTTCCTTATTATTCAAATTCGCCTTTTTTCTGAGAAGTTTCTTTGTCAGCGTGTTTTATACATCCACTTAGTCTTTTCTTCCTTCAAATAATTCGTTTGACACAGACGATTCAACAAATGTCACGTTTCTCTGGTCTGTTATCTTTTATCTGTAGGGCCGTGAGAACTGCGCGCAGATCATGAAACTGGTACATCGTGCGTGCGTGCGTGCGTGCGTGGTAACACAGGTTACCATGATTTAACTAACATACGTAACAGTCGAACTCACTCTCTCTCTCCCCCCTCCTCTCTCTCTCTCCCTCTCTCTCTTCAGTCTGCAGCACGTCTCGGCTTTTGAGTGCGCGTGAGTTTTCTTTGGAAAGTCGTGTATTCCGAATTGCTATTTCGGGGGCAATTCATGTTTCTCTCCTGCTACGCTCAAGCAGTGCATAATAAATACGATATTAGCCGAATACATTTCCGTGTGGAATTTCTCAAGCTTTTTACTCAGTGCTGTGACCTCCTACTTGCACTCGTCTCCTGATTCGCCATTTTTGATTTTCCATCACTCATCATAACCAAAGATGTTTGTGTAACGTCGTTAAAACGCGGTCAGTCGATCTACGGCTCGAGAATTATGTATAATCGACTCAGCCTCCTGCCTGAAAATTGTCATAACCGAGGCAGAAGATGTTTTGGTACGAGCTTAGGGCGACTGACGAACTGGCTTTCACAGACTCTTCAGTTCGAATCCCTCTGTTCGGCTTTGCACCACTGTTGCTCTACAGCAGGGGTGGCCAACCCAAATGATCTTTCGGGCCACTTTGGAAATGCATCATAACTCCGCGGGCCACATATAAAATTATATATCCCCACAAATAATGTATTTTTTTAATACATTGGTTTTCACTACTTTGGCCATTATAAAATATATTTTGTAAAAGTGTGATGAATCTCGCGGGCCGGAAAAATGTTCAAGGCGGGCCACGGGTTGGCCACCCCTGCTCTACAGTATCTCTGTCTGGTATCACTTTCTTTCTTTCTTTCTTTCTTTCTTTCTTTCTTTCTTTCTTTCTTTCTTGAGGTTCATTTATTCATTTCTTTGATCTGTTTGGACAATGGTAGGACTCCTTGGATGAGTGATCAGCCCGACGCAAGGCCTCTACCTATACAAACACAGAAAGACGCGGGCAAACATCCATGCCTTGAGTGGGACTCGAACCCACGGTCCCAGCGGCCACGCGCACGAGGTCCGTGCCTCAGACCTCGTGACCACTGTGGCCGGCTGTCTGGTATCACTTGAAGCAAAAATATAATGTGGCTGACCAAAGGTTTTCTAAGAATATTGTAAAAAAGAACTGTTCTTCAACCTTATAAGGTTTCCGACCTCAGGCCTACGTGTTTCTCAGAAGATGTCGCATATTTCCACGGATTAAAATCTTTGCAATGAAAATCTGAGCGTCGCATTACAACAAATTCTTGAGAGGTGAAATGAGTACAATTTGCGATTCATTATTATTTATATTTTATTATTGTTTCTACGAGTTTTATTAAATGAAAATTAATGGAGGTTTCTGTTCGTCAATGCTCCAAACCGGTTCTCGAGTTCTTATGGTCTACTGTTTAAAGGCACAGGGGAAAATAGCGGCCGAAATGTGAACCTGACCTAGTGCCAAGATTGAGAATGAATGGAGCTATGCCTCTTCTCCACCATACGCCTTCATGTGTATAGGGACAACTT